GGAAAATCAATAAAACCCAAAAGCCGATATGCCCAGATTGCACCTGAACCGCATGTCAGTTTTTAGCGAAAACCGATCGGATTTATAAGGAGGCCATTGGGAGTCACCATGTGAAGTTTCAACTCTGAGCACCCCCCAAACAGAGTGCAAATGGACAATCGGTCAACCCTTAAAAATGTTTTTTCCGGTTGGGTATTTCCTAAATGCAGATTAATTTAAGGTCACACTATACGCGGGAAGAAACAGGTTAGTGCGTGCAGTGCTGTATGAGTCATACGATTTTTGAATCGAGCATGGGCAACGCCGGGCCATACTTCTAGAGTCTTTGATATTATTCATATAAAACTTTAACTTTGCTGTAGAAATTCATAAAACCAACCTCATCGTAATCAGGTGTACATGAACAGTTTATTGACTCCTGGTTTGTAGATGTTTGTGCAAGGTCACCTGAATAATTTTAATGATAAAAAAACCTAATTAAAAGGCATGAATTCAATCATACTTTCAAACCAGTATATATCTCTAACTTCTGTTCATTATTTTTTTTATCACTAAAAGTAAAAAGCCAACTTTGGTTCATACTTGAATATACTGTCACCATAGTTCACGGTGACTACTACTACCACCATTTTTATTGGAGAGAATGGTCTAGCAAAACTCTTGCCTTATTTCAGGACTGCCAACAACCATTGCAAGAGAGTCTTGGTAAATACAAATTCTCAATAGAGGCAAACTCCACATTAGACAACAAGAGTTATCCCTTATCTGACTTCCCTGCTCATGAATCACATTAATTAAATTTGATAAAAATGTAGAAAATAAAAAATTAAAACAGCTAAATTTCATTGATTATTTTGATTGTGACAGCAAACACATCTTGAAATTCTTTTTTGAATAAATACTCACAGATATATACCAATTGATGAGGAGTTCTGTATGTGCCTTTTTCTTCTAAAAACTTTTTCCAATGAAGCCAGGAATTCTCAATATTTTGAATTGATATCAACGCCAAATGAATCCATATCATTTTTTTTTTATATATTTATACAAACATCATATTTGCAAAATTAAATTTGTATTAAATTACAAAAATATTAGGTTCTCATAGTCTTTTATCTGTTCCTTAAATGCATCAATTTTTATTTTGTATGAGCACATGGATCATTTTTCTATGTTCTTAACTTAAATTCTACAGTAAAATTACAAACATATTTGTCCATTTTATTTTATTTTTATAAAACTTTTTGTTTCTTATTTGAATTTTATACTGTTTTTGTCCTATAATAATTATTACATTTGTATGCAAATTCATACACTAAATAAAACAACCATTATGGGACAGAGGTAGTATAATATTAGGACGGGAAACTATTTACCTTCCAAATACATATTTCAGCAGAGTAGCAGAACTTTGGAGTTCTGCACCTGGCCGCTCATTCTATTTGAACGGGAACTGAACTCAAGATTTTATTATGGCCATTATGTTCTAACTACCTGCTGATAGGACTGATCTATAAGCATCACAAAGCCAGTTAAATGAAGCAGCATCCAATTCTGGTGCAATTACATACCAGGTGAAAAGCCTTAACAAGGAAAAGGTAGATTTACAAGCAAACAAGAATACAAATGAAGTATGTTTATATCTTCTGAGGGCAGAACATGCTAGATATGTGCTATAAACACAAGACTTTGGCATTTGAATACCACTTGCATACCTGGGGATGTCTATTTAAAGAGGATAGGTCATAAGTATTTGTTTATTTCCTGGCAGTAAAGAACATTCTGGATATGCCACAAGAAAGTAATGTAGATAAATATAACTAGTCATGGATTAATTTTAGAATCCTTTTTTTTTTTTTTTTTTGTCGAACAAAACTTTTTGATGCCGTTAAAAAGCACTGGCAGGAGAAAGCAAAACAGACAGGTGGGAGATATATGTGAAAATATATTAATCTTATTTTTTTTAATTTTTTTTGCTTTTCTGTATTTTTTCTTTGCCCCATCTAATTACTCCTTTAGTTATTTATTATACATCCTTACGCAAAGCTGCCTTTCTGAAGATATTAATGTTTGTTTTGTTAAGATGAAAAACAAAAAAAAAAAAAGGATATAAAATAAATTGGTCACTTGAGTAAAAATTGCCAAGTCTCTTTATTGATGATATTTCCATAATTTCCAATCTTAGTAAAAGAAAGGTAGATTATATATTTTCTAATATATACAAGAGGGTGCTGGAAAGTTCTCAGCCCAACCCACTCCCCCAAATCTGAGCAGATTTTTATTTTGTAATTTAAAATTTTTTTTTGGGGGGGGGAGCCAAGAACTTTTCAGTACCCTTCTGTATAATATCAATTTTTTTTTTTTAATAGCATCTTAATATAAGAGGTGGTATTAAGCAGATGGAGATTATACTAAAAGAACAGAAAGAAAATGACATAAAATCCTAGACAAGGCAGTAAAAGAAAATGAGAAGAAAGGACTAACTATCAGTTGTAAGAAAAAAGAATATACAAAGGTCAGCTGAAATGTTCATAGGCTGACCAAGATACTCTCATGTAATGTGATCAAATAAGGTTGATTTTTCAACATAGTCCCCATTGTGGTCTGCACAATTCTTCCATTGGTATTGTAGTGCTTGGAATCCATTGTTGAAGAAACATTTATCTTGTTGGTCAAAAATGTCATAAACAGCAAGTATAGCATCATCACTGCAATACTGGTTCCCAGTCAAGTGTTTTTTTTTTTGTTTTTTTTTTGTTTTTTTTTCATATAGGGGGGCAGAACAGATGATAGTCGGATGAGGACAAATCGGGAGAATAGGGAGGGTGATCAACCAGTTCAAAGCCACAGTCATGCACAGCAGCCATTGAAAACAAGAACTTGTGTGCTGGAGCATTGTCCGGATGAAACAAGACTCCTTTCATCAATTTTCCTGAGTATTCAATCTTGATAGCCTTTCATAACTGCTTCAGGATGTTGGCATAGTACTCTCCATAGATGGTGTGGCCCTTTTAAAAATAGTCAATCAACACAATGCCCTTTGCATCCTAAAAAACTGAGGCCATCACCTTCCCTGCAGATGAAACAAGATTGGCCTGCTTTGGAGCAGGTGAGGAGGGGTGTTTCTACTGCATGGATTATCTCTGGTTCACTGATAGGTTTATCCTGGGTTAGGAAACTTTCAAGAAAATCAGCTGGATCTGACTCAGATGATATCAGATTTTTCTGTGATGTGATCAGACTGGTGCACTTTTGATCAGGTATCAAAAGATGTAGTACCCACTGAGCAGAAACCATCCTTATGCCAGGATCATTGTGCAGAATATTCTCAACTCTCACACAGGATCTGCTAATAACATTGATTATTTGATTTATAGTCAAACGCCTGTCATCCATCACCATGTGGTAAACATGATTGATTTTTTTGGTGGTGGCATTTGCAGAACATCCAGGCCTTGGGTTATGTTCAAGATGATCCCTTCCCCATCTTAAATTCAGCTGTCCACTTTTGTTGGTAAAGCTGGAACATCATCCCCTAATGTAGCAACCCTGTCAGCATGAATGTCCTTGGGAGCTAAACCCTTTTTCTGCAGGTACTTGATAACACCATAATGTTGTTGCTACTTGTGACATTTGAAGATTTCTTTGAACAGTCAGATGTCAGTTTACCTGGAAATAAACAACGCAGTTATTAAAAAGAAGAGTTGAAATTAATGCATGCAAGATTTCACAGCTCTAGCATCACTCCTTCATAGTCATTAGCAAAAGGGACAACCCAAGATGCGAACTATGAATTGGAGACGTCATAATCAAGCAAGTACAGAAATTTAACTATCTTGGAAGATGACAGAAAACATGACACAGAAATCTGACAACACGTTGGAATTGCAAAATATGCCTTCCAAAAACTAAAAGTATTTAGAAACAGGAAAATTAGATTAGAAATAGTGCTGAACTGCTATATAATATCAATCCACCTATAAGGCAGTGAATGCTGGATAATTTCTTAACAGATGAAGAGAAAACTTGAGATAACAGATGCAATTCTACAGAAGGATGCTGAGAACATGTGTGGATGTTTTAAGAAAAATGAAAACAAAGTGGATGCTTGTATTTACAATCGGAAAAAGATAGTTGAAATTTATAGGACACATAATGAGGAAAGAGGACTCGGAGAATTTAACATTCATAAGATATATTAAAGGCAAGAATGACAGAGGGCAATGGCAAATAACCTACCTAACAAGCTTGTGTAAATGGATGGCAGAACAAGTAGTGAGAGGTGTGGTAGAGGGATAAATATTGCTTAGAGCTACAGAGAATAGGAAGTTATGGAGAGCTATGACTGTCCATGCCATGAAAGGGCAGAGTACATAAAAGAATTAATAAAATTGATTAATTCTGTAGTTTAATAATAAATGTTACTTTTTCAAGTTAGATTTTATTAAAAGAATTTGATGATATTGTTTCCTTTCTGCTGCAAGTATACTCTTAAAAAAAAAAAAGAAATAAGAGAGAATCCAAGCCCAGTCGAATGTGTTTTATATTAATTGGTTATTTCTATGAAAGACGCTACCTGACAATGAATGCTTTTGTTTTTAAGTGATGGTGGCATTACTCCTTACCTGTCTGAGTTACAAGTAAGCTGTTAAGTTGTTCTCTAAACCGTTACTGATTTGGTGCATTTTTAGTATATAATTGGCAGACTTACCAACCTCAAGTGTTTGGCCTTGAACATGATTATCTTCAGGGATCAGTGTGTCTATTTTTATCACCCCCATTATCACTTAATAGAAATTTCTTTTTTTTTTTTTTTAAAAAAAAAAAAAAAAAAAAAAAAAAAATGTCTTATTCAGCCTTTTCCTTGTTATAATCATATTGACAGGACATTTCAGGTGATACACAAATTTACTCAGTATATTTTAAATTATAATTTCTTGAGATCAAATGAATTAATGACAGGAAGCTAATTGACTGGGGAGCTGCATTGTTTCAATCCTATGATTAAATGTCTTTTCTTCTTTTTTTTTTCTTTTCTTCTTCTTTTTTTTCTTTTCTTTTCTTTTTTCTTTTTTTTTTTTCTTTTTTTCTTTTCTTCTTTTTTTCTTCTTTTTCTTTTTTTCTTCTTTTCTTTTTTCTTTTCTTTTCTTCTTCTTTTTTCTTTTCTTTTTCTTTTTTTTCTTTTCTTTTTTCTTTTTTCTTTTCTTTTTTCTTTTCTTCTTTTTTTCTTTTCTTTTTTCTTCTTTTCTTTTTCTTTTTTCTTTCTTTTTTTTTTTTTCTTTTTTCTTTTCTTTTCTTTTTTTTTTCTTTTTTTCTTTTCTTTTTTTCTTCTTTTTTCTTTTCTTTTTTCTTCTTTCTTCTTTTTTCTTCTTTTTTTCTTCTTTTTCTTCTTTTCTTCTTTTCTTTTTTCTTCTTTTTCTTTTCTTTTTTCTTCTTTTTTTCTTTTTTTTCTTTTCTTCTTTTCTTTTTTTCTTTCTTTTCTTCTTTTTTCTTCTTTTTTTTTCTTCTTTTTTTTCTTCTTTTCTTCTTTTTTTTCTTTTTTTTTTTTTCTTTTCTTTCTTTTTCCCTTTTTTCCCTTTCTCTTTTCCTTTTTTCTTTCTCTTTTCCACTCTTTTCCTTTCTTCATTCAATACAAGGCTCAAGAGTCACTCAGAGCAGAGGCTTACTGTGGTATGTGATAAGGATGTAAGAGGAGGTAGTAGGAAGAGAAGATTATGAGGATATAGAGGATATATAACAATTGACGCATGACTTGAAAAGGTTAATATTGTAATGTTTATAGGCTCATCCTTGTCTGTTCTACAATGTAGCAGTTTTCGGTGGAGGTTGTCTGAGTGGAACTTCTTTACAATTGGATTATGGAGAAAATGAGTGATAATCAAACAGACTAACATAAATCTTCTCAGCTCTTCAGTCAAATAGAAATTTCCATCAGTCATGCATATAATAATAAAAAATTTATATTTAATTGTGATTGATGGAAATTGAATTTTGTCTGTGAATCAGGAAATAAAAAAAAAAAATTTTTTCCTAACCAATTTAGAAATTTTAGTTCAATTTTTTTCTTTTCTATCTTTTTTCTTTCTTTTTTTTTTTCTTTAAACATTTATCCCTCTGTGACTTCATTTGCTATACAAAATGTTTATCCTGCCATTGAAGGTGACTCTGAACAATAGTATGTTTGAATTTCATAGATGTGTTGTCATATCCTGCTATGGAAACACAAACACTTTTGAGTGAAATTAACAATAAGGTTACTGCAATTGAGAGGCTTTGAGAAAGAATGCAGTAGAAAGGGAAGTAATATTACTAATGCAGTGTTAAAGGTTAAAATTTACTTCAAAAGAAAAAAAAACTGGAAGATCCTTACTTTAAAACCACATTTTTTTGCAGCTAAAAATAAACAAAAGGATACATCATATATGCATATAGATTGCCATGTGGGATCAGTTAGTGTCCATGATTTGAAATCTACCATGTTTTGTGCAGAATTCTCTACTAAGTACTTTTTACTAATTTCTTTGTAAACCATTTTCTTTAGCAAATTTTTTTCACACTATTTAAAATCATATTCAAGCTAGAAAAATAAAAGATAAACTGTTTCAGTAATTGCTTCAAAAATTAAAACATATTGAAAATAGGAAAAGAACTGTTCCTTTCACAGTTACTGGGTTAACAAGTTTTTGGTCCCAATATTATATTCAGACCAGCATGTTTGTTTTGTCTTGTAACCAAGATGAACATGCTGGTCTGAATAGCAGAACATAACGATAATTCCTCCAAAATTCTGAAGAAAGGTATTTTTTGCCCCAGGTATTTATTTTATTTCAATTATTTATATTTCTGTATATATATTGCAAAACAGATGAAATCTATCCAAAAAAATATGTTTAATTCTTTGAAAACTGATTTTAATTTACATTATTTACTGTAGGACTAATATCCTTATCTTTGTCATTTTGCTGTCCATGTCTTTTTGTGTTTGTACTTACTACCCAGTTATTGGTAGTGTTGTTTCCACTGAGTCACTACTACCCAGCCTAGAGATTGAACTTGTAATCACTATTTTTAATCAGATATGTTGAAGGTAAAGAAACATTGCTGTTAAAATCTCAAATAGATGAAATTCATTTTTCTAAAAGTCATTTGAAAAGTTATTTATCCATTTAAATAGATTTTTTTTTAGATTCCAAATTACAAGGTGTTATTTATGTCTAATCTTTATGCACTGTCACTTTTAAGATATAAGAATAACGGTTCTCCACAGCTTCCTTTCTTTTATTGTTTAGATTAATATTTGCTCCTTTACAAACTTTGTCATCCATTTTCTCAAACTTGTCAAACGGAATACTTCTTGCTTTTTCTCTGTTCTCTTGCTTTTCTGTGAGTGTTAAATTCTCCAAGCTTCTTTCCTCATGTCTCAAAGATCTCGGCTATCTGTTTCTGATTGTTATCAAGTTTGTCATTTCTATTCTCCATGAAACTACATTTGTCATATGCTCTGTCCATAATATTCTCAGTATTTCTCAGTTGAGCCATACTTTGATTGCTTCAAGTCTTTTTTTTTCACTTGTGATAAAATTATTCAGCATCCACTGCCACATAAAACATTAGAAATTTCTTTATTTCCAATATTATTTCTCATCTTTCAAGTACCTTGTTCTTTTTCTGACAAGCTCTCTTACCATTTCTGTATCACACTTTTTTGTCTCCTGTTACTACACTATCCGCCTGTTTGATTCTGACATCTCCAGTTTGAAATTTACACCTTAGGCTGTCCCTGTTATTGAGCTTTTAAAAGAACTCTTCATTTTTATCTTTAGTAAATGATTGAGAAGAAAGAAATTTCTGTTACATTTCCAAGATAATTGATGGAAAGGAACAGGTCTGCTCAGCTCCCCACGCACACTTATTCCCAAAAGCCATTTTAATCTCGTCAAACAGTAATAAACACAGTGGCTTCCCTATATAAAACTTGGCTTAATTTCTGGGAGAAAAATATATTTGAACAGAGAGAGATTAAACATCACAAAGTTGTATTAATCTTGGCTCTTGTATTGGTAACTAGTTCGTGAGAAAGAAGAAAATATGCAGGCTTTTTATAACAGTGTACCATTCATATTGTAACATTGGGTTGATTCTACTAGCATAGCCACCTTTTTATTGATGGCTTCTGAAATTCATCCTCTTTCTATGATAGTTGGTACAATTCCTTATTTAAGGCCTCAAATAGCGGATCATTAACCACATCACTTCATGTGTGTCTGCTGAAAGATATTTGGCTATTCATTTCAGGAAATACTTCTATCCTACCATTTACTTCAGACATTTTTTTAACATATTTTTCTTGGTCTACTTGGCATACTTGTATATATGTAGGTAGATTAAGAAAATGAAATAAAAACAAACCTTTTCAACCTAATCTATTTCCTTGTCAATGCACTAAATTCAGTGGTAATTATTAATCTCATATGTTGATTATTATATAATAAACATTTCAGATGCCTTCCAAAAGCTAAGCAAAGTATTAAAATACAGGACAATTTCATTAGAAACAAAGAAAAGACTGGAATGCTATGTAATATCAATTCTTCTATATGGCAGTGAATGCTGGACAATTTACTCACAGATGAGCAAAAGACTTGAAGCAATAACAATGCAGTTCTACAGAAGGATGCTAAGAATACCATGAATAATGAATGTGAGCAATGAGGAAGTTTTAAGGAAAATGGAAGCAAAAGGAACACATACTTAAAATCAGAAAAAGACTGCTGAAATTTCTGGGACACAATGAGGAAGAGGTGTTTGGAGAATTTAAGCCTCATAGGATATATTGAAGGCAAAAGGGATATAGGGAGGCAGTGAGCAATATTGTGTGACTAGATGGCAAGAAGGGGGGGGATTGAAAAAAGACAAACGTTACTAAGAGTTCCAAGTGATAGGAAGTTGCGAAGAGCCATGATCGCTTACATCCTGAAAGGACTCAGAATATAAAAGAAACAGTAACTTTCAGGCCCTTGATCCATCTTTGTACATATGCATTCATTATGTCTTCTTTGTAGGTGTATGGTATTTGTTATTAATCTTTATTTTTTTTTTAAATACAATGTCCATTCTTGGATTTAAACATTCATGGCTTTCCACAACTTTCTTTTCTTTACAGTCTCATAATTATTATGACCATTCTTGTTTGGTTTCCTGTAATTAAACAACAAAAAGTGAAGATGGGGTAGGGGGGAACATAATAAAAAAATGGATAAGAAGCTAAAGGTTGTTTGTAGTTAATGGATAACAAACACAATAGGAGACCAAACAGAAGATAGATGGATGAAATAGTTTATAGGGAAGATATATAGCCTAGTCATGAAAGGAGTTGGAACACTTTTCATCTAGCAGTGGACTTAACAATAGTTGATAAGGATTTTTATCAAAACAAGATTGTTTTTTTTTATATAGCATCTGTTAATAATTTACTTGATTTCATATCACCACCATTTTTTTTTTTTTTTTTTATTTCATGTAAATGTCTCTTTGCATACTTGACTTTTCTGTTAATGTATATATGTGTTTGTACGTATGGGAGATTTGTGTAGCTGTGACCACTTACACAAATACACACCTCTTTTGAATTACTTAGAAATAATCTCTTGTATTCAAATTGAATTTTCCTTCATTGAAGTGAGATTGTATCATTTAATTAATGCACAGGTAGAGCAAGGGTTAGCAGCTCAGAACAGGAAACTGGTGAAGCAAGTTAAAATTCCTGTTGAGTTTTATATTTGCTTTTGTACATTTACCTTTGGGGGAAAAGTATCTTAATCTCTTTCCTCCCACCCTCACTAATCAAACAGGTTAAACAGCAAAGCAGACTTGGTTCTTTAGCCATGGTTGGCAACCGGTCTATAAAAAGGGCAACTCTGAATTCAAAATCTTTCTAGCTCTGGCAAAGCAAGCATATACTATACAACCATGAAAAAGATTATGGAATTTGCGATTAAGTTCCCAGTGTGTGATTGTGGTCTCTATACTCTCTACTATATTCGATCAGATAGGTAGGTAATTAAGCTTTACTAATATACTACAAATAGAACTTTAGTTTTTGTTTGTTTTTGTTTTTAAGACGTCTGTTCTTTTCATTTGCTACTAAGTTGTCACAAGTGAAAAAAATGACTTGAACTAATCAAGATGCAGTTCTACCAACAACTGAATAACAACAAACAAAAGAATGAGAAATACCATTTACAGAGCTTGTGATCGATGGAGAAGTTCTCGGGTATTACAAGGAAACTTAATAACAATCAAAAAGAAACAAGTGAAATGTTGGAGGCATATGTGGAAACAAGCCTTGGAGAATTTAACACACATGGCACATCGAATGCAAGAGAAGAAGACAGCAACAAGTAGCCTAATTAAGCAAATAGATGAATGGATTAAAAAATACCACAAAAAATACCACAAAAATAGGGGCAGAAAGCAATAAGTATTGCTGAAAGCAAAAAAAGAAAAAAGGAGGCTGTGGAGAATCATAAAACCAACATCCTGAAGGGACATGAGAGAGTATAAGCAAAAAAAGAAAATTGATGTAATCATGTTTTTGGTTATGCTTGAGATAACAAGACGGTAAAATCAGATAAAATTTCTAATCACTAAGACACATGGCTTCAGGAAACACATTTCACATCTTATATTGTCTTCCTCCACAATTTACTTCCTCAGTAACCATTATTTACCCCCCCTCCCTTTGAGAAAAAAAAGATGGCTATTCAACACACTTTGTATTTTATTTCTGGAAGTTTCAATTCTTTTATTAGCAAGAACCACTTGTGCAAAAGCTGAAGCTTAATGGAATGCATAAGAGAAATTGTAAAGATAATGAACAAAATGAAAAAAAAAAAAGCATTCAGCTGCAACTTGTTCAAGTCTGATTTGGTTACTCTTATTTTCAAGTTAAAAATTGGTGTTGCCAAACTGAATTCTTTGTAAATTTAAACAATTATACAAGACTGTTCAGAAAAGTTCTCAGCTTAACCCATATTCTAAAATCTGAGCAAACTTCGGAATTTTTTTTTTTTTTTTTTTTTTTTATAAATCTCTTCTTGGTCAGGCCAAGAACTTTTCAGTGTCCTTTTTTTTGTAACCAAATGTAAGTAAAATATTTCAGATTTCTAAGTAAAGAATTAATGTAATTTCTGATATTCCAAAATTCAACAGAACTAAAGTTTGCTAAGTCATTGCTGAAATAAAAATGAAGAGAATTGAAAAAAAAAATATCAGAAGTCAAAATTGTGTCAAAGATGTTTTTTTAAACTTGCAAAAATGCAAGTTTAAAAAAACATCTTTGACACAATTTTTATAGATTTTATGAATAATTTTGAATTTGCTTTCATTTTGGTTTTATTAGTTTTTTTTCAAAATTCACTTCACTATTGAAATCATTTCTAATGTTAGACAACAGTAGTGCCCAAGCTACAGTCTTGCAACTTGACCAAGATATAAAGAAATATAAAACAGGTCCTGAAGGGATATGGCATTTAAAGAGAGAGATTTATAAAATTTCACTTTTTTTTCTTTATAGTAAATATCAAATATTACTCTAAAATTTCTTAGCTACTTAAATGTTTAGTTTTTATTAATATTGTTTCATTTGTGTAAGGCAATTGATCTTGCCAAGGTCTTGGAGTAATCTCAAAACAGGTGATCAGATAGTCAACATTTCATGTTTAAGGTCACATACAGATAATGTTAGTAAAATGGCAAAGCTATATATGGGAGACAAAAGTCTGGTATAGCAAATAAATATTAGACACTGTATTAATCATGATTGTCTTGTTTTCATTGCACTATAAAGTAACAAAGTTGTGACTTCTGGGCTGTTCCATATGTAGGAAGATTACTCGTTAATAGGTGGAGGTTGAAACATTTGTGAAAAGTTCAGAGTTGAACTTGGTTGAAGTGCTTTGAAGTCTTTGACAAAAATCCTAGTTTCCTTGTAAACTGACTTTAAGTGTAGGACAACATTACTAAACTATGACAGTCAGATGCACAGACCCTGAATATTCTCACCATACTTGATTGTAATAAGAAGTGACTCAGTTTTAATTTGATAGGAGGAGATGATATTGCCACCTCTGAAAGAATGCCCTGAGGAACTCTGATTCTGAATAGAGAAGTTGGTGCTTGTGCTCTGAGATTTAGGAAGGTTTGATAAGTGGAAGGTAGGGTTAGTTATAAAATTGTTTATTAATGTCTCAGGACAAACCAGCGCGTTTTTTTTTTTTTCTTTTCTCTCCCTCTCTCTCTACTTACATTAAAAGTCACTTTTAACTATTTATCTATAGGATCAAGAAAAATACTTTATACACACACACACACATATATTATGATGGATGTATGGGTGGTGTATTAGAAGGCCGAGTTTGAATTCCAATTCATTACATTCACTTATGTGCCAATACCCTTTCACCCTAGCTATGGGTTAAATAGTAAGGCAGATTGGGATTTTTAACTTTGATTAGTAACTTGTCTAGGAGAAAAAAATTAAAACCTGAAAGCTCTGGGCTTCTGGCTATCATGAATATAAATTTAAAACATTCGAATTGGATGTTAAAAATCTCTGCTCTAATCAGACGGCTTACTGGATTTCTTAATCTATCAAAAATATGTTTCAAAACTGATTAATGCCATGACAAAAATTCTTCATCTGTTGTATCTCATAAGAACATGGGCGATCATGACTCTCCACAACTTCTTTTGTTGTTAGAAGCAATATTTGTCCTCTTACTATCCCTCCTAGTCCCAGTTTTATCATTTATTTACACATGCTTTCATAATCCTTCAATATGTGCTGTGAGTGTCAAATTCTCTAAGCACACATCCAAAAATCCTCATTATGTGTCCTAGAAATTTCAGTGGTTTCTTTTTCATTCTCAATACAAATATACTTTTTGTTCCCATTTTCTTAAGGCTTCAGGACGTAGATGATCACAGCTCTCCTCAACTTCCTATAACTTGTAGCTCTCAGCAATATTTATCCACTTATGCCTTCCAAATCCTGTCCTGACATCTATTTACACAAACTCATTTAGGTTACTGTAGGTTTTCCTTTGCTTCTCTTGCTTTTAGCTTATCCTGTGTGTCATATTCTCCAAACCCTCTTTCCTTATTAGGTGTTCCAGAAATTTCAAGTGTCTCTTTCTAACTCTAAATATGTGTCCTTTTAATTCCCATTTTACTCAAAATTTCCTTGTTGCTCACAAACTTTACCCATGGCATTCTGAGCATCCTTCTGTAGGACTACATTTCTTTTACCTCAAGTCTCTTTTTTTCTTTTTTCTTTTAAACCTCTGTGAGGAAATTATCCAGCATTCAGTGTCATATTGGAGGATTGATAGTTCAACACTCTTTTCTTTTTTTCTAACCAGTTCTTGTTCAATCACTGAAATTAAGAGGTGTTGAGCACTTAGATGGAAGACCACTTGGATACTGTAAGTGAACTATTACAATCCAAAATAGGTTTTGGCTTTAAATAACCCATGATGGGTTGATAAGCCATAAAACAACAACAATCTCCATTTCTAATGTAATATGTTTATTTTCCAAAAATAAATTAAATATTGAAAACTGAAAAATGTTTTTTTTTTTTTTTTTTTTTTTTGAGAAACAAATATATATTTGAAATTTTAATTGTTCATCTCACTCCAGAGGAAATTTTAAGCATAATTATTTAAAGTCGGACTAATACCTTCATCTTTGTTACAATAATGTTTTAGCTATTGTGCCTTCTTGTCTTTAAGTATCTATCAATCCAGGTAACCTTTAAGGAATTTTGTACTGAACTCTTTATTCAATCTATGTGGTTAGATTGTTCTCATTCTACTCATACCAAGTATATATCCAACATAACTGTGAGTTCAATACTTGGGCTGGATGGTACATATATACTCAAACTAAGTTGGAAGAGAATTAACAATTAACCAAATTGAGTTATCTCTAAACATGGATAGCAGAATCAGAACAATCTAATGCCTACTTCTCAGATTGAATAAAGGGTTTAATTAGAAATTCATTGAAGGTTATCAAGATCAACAGGTACTTGAAAAAGGCTGGAGCATGCAATGGCCAAAAGGCTGTGATCATAACAAGAGGACATTATGTCAAAATAATGTCCTCTTGTTATGAATAAAAACTCATTTTTTTTCTTTTTTTTTACCCTTAAACATTTTTTAAAATCTATGCAATCAAATATGAGAACTTTTTTTTTCAGTTTTTGTTTTAATTAGTGTTAAACCAATAGTTTTGAACTTCAAAATAATTTAGAACTGAAACAAGTTTATCTAAAATAATTAAGTTTATTCCCTCCAAAATTGGTATTATTGTTTTGTTTATACAATATATCCTTTAAATTTCTATGATATTTTCTTGTCCATCACAGCTTAATTTTGTATATTAAACCTGGTCACCTTTTGTAATAATTAAAGTGGTATTTCATTGTATTATTATTTTGCATCAGTTTTTCTAATTAAATAAAATAATTAAATGAGTGTTTGTAAACTTTAATTTACTATTTGTTAACTGATATAAATAAAAAAAAAATATAGGTTTTAATTTATTTTCATTTCATTTTATAATATAACCTCCATGTGCCAATAAAAGTATTTTGTATATTTTAAAAATAAATCTTATGACTGCAGAGTACAGACAAAATGTTTTTGTAAACAATGATAATGAAAACAGGCTTTATTGTTTTATTTTTTTAACAATTTTAGATTATTATATAGCTTTATGTTCAGACTTTTATCCTTGTCTTGGTTGCTTTACTCAATGTTTCAGTTGTTGTATCTGTCCTCTGGCTGCCTTCATGTGTCTGTTGTACTCAGTAACTGTCTCAGAATTTGGAACCAAACATTTTAATAACCCCTTCAAGTTTAGGATCAACTTTTACCTGTCATATGTATTCCCATAATCTGCACTTACAGCCATCTTCCTTCTCCTATGTCTATACAACATTTAGTAACTCTTTTCCTTGAGTGGCTCTTGGGACTTGTATTGGGTGAACATTTAGTGAAAGAAAATTAAATCCATGAATGTAAATAGTTCTCATTCCACTTGTTATGGTTAGGGGAGATAACTCATATCAGTTAATGTTCCAGCCTTTTCATCATTGTATTGCTCTTTTGTTTCTTCTATTGAACCAGAGTATCTGACCTCTTTTTCCTTCTTTTTTTACTTTTTCCTTCTTTTTTTACTTTTTCCTTCTTTTTTTACTTTTTCCTTCTTTTTTTACTTTTTCCTTCTTTTTTTACTTTTTCCTTCTTTTTTTACTTTTTCCTTCTTTTTTTACTTTTTCCTTCTTTTTTTACTTTTTCCTTCTTTTTTTACTTTTTCCTTCTTTGTTTTTTTCCTTCTTTGTTTTTTTCCTTCTTTGTTTTTTTCCTTCTTTGTTTTTTTCCTTCTTTGTTTTTTTCCTTCTTTGTTTTTTTCCTTCTTTGTTTTTTTCCTTCTTTGTTTTTTTCCTTGTTTTTTCCTTCTTTGTTTTTTTCCTTCTTTGTTTTTTCCTTCTTTGTTTTTTCCTTCTTTGTTTTTTTTTTTTTACTTCTTTCCTTCTTTTTTTTTTTCCTTCTTTACTTCTTTCCTTCTTTACTTCTTTCCTTCTTTACTTCTTTCCTTCTTTACTTCTTTCCTTCTTTACTTCTTTCCTTCTTTACTTCTTTCCTTTTATACTTCTTTTTTTTTTTCCTTCTTTCCTTTTTTACTTCTTTCCTTTTTTACTTTTATACTTTTATACTTTTTCCTTCTTTTCTCTTGTATTTTTTTTTTTTTAATATTTTTTCTTTGCACTACATAACCAAGGGATTGAACTCACAACTGCCAAGAGACCAGATGTTTTTCATAAACACTTTAATCCCTAGGCTATATATCTCTTGGAAAGGCATAAAATAATAATTCATCTTAAAAATTCTGACAAAAATTAATGCAAAATGAATTGACCAGTTTTTTTCTTAGTCTTTCCTATTTATTCATCATTTAATTTTCTTTGTTTTTTTTTATTTATTGTCCAGATGCAGTCTCTTCCATTCCACCTTCCATCAACAATTCAAGCATTGGTGAATTAATGTCATCGTTCCAGTCAATGGATTTGAGCCATAACAACAGTACCAACAATGCTCTTACCAATGCTGGCAGCAATATGACCCCCAACAATATCAAAGGTCTGGTGCCCATAATCCGTTTTCACAAGAATGTTGATTTTACCCCCCTATTTTTTCATTCAGTGCAGGGTCGAAATATCTTGCTTGATGTGGAGAAGACAGTGGCCATGCGACGACGGGAGGAGTACTGCAATGGCTATGTATTCACATCACGCCCAGTTCGCAATGAAGTCATTGTCCTGCAAATCTTAGCCATTGACAGATCCTATGTAGGTGGACTAGCTTTCGGTTTCACAACTTGTGACCCTTGTTGCTTGACTTTTAATGAACTCCCTGATGATGCTGACCAGTTCCTTGATCGTCGTGAATATTGGGTAGTGAATAAAGATGTGTGTAGAAGTCCTGATGTGGGTGATGAGCTCAGTTTTCATCTTACTCCAGAAGGTAAGTCCTCAAAACAGTTTTTCTTTTAATGGCTTTTTCTTTAATAAGAAAAACAATTTTTATGTATTGACACTCACAATGCACAGTTTTATAGAGAAACTTTGGCACTTATAACAGCAACATAATATGATGTCTATTGTATATAAAATAGTTTGTGCTAGGGGTAGTTTGATACAACACCACAAATTACTACAAAACTAGTTATGTTCTTAAATCAGATTGAGACTTTTATATAGATATCATGCATGGCTCCAAACTCATTCAGAAATGTCCAAGTTGTTATCTGAATACAATTGTTTTCTTAGATCAATGATTAAAAATGTCTTCAAGCCTGTAGGTCTTAGCTAGGGCCATCCTTCTTTAAACCTTATGAACTGGTGCTACATAATGACAAAGGACTGTATTAAATAACAGAAACCACATCACTTCAGGACTTTCAACATCAGCAACATCTAAAATGGATAGTACATGTAACCCAAAGAGAAAATAATGATATAATCAAGATGTTGACATTCCACACTATTTCAAACAAAAGATTAGGAAGGAAACCCCCATCAATACTGGAAAGAGCAATAACAGTTATTGGACTTGAGAAACCTGTTTTCTTGAAAAATTGTTTTAAAAGTAAGAGTTTATAAATTTCAACCAAAATTAGCACTAACTGTTTGGTAAATGAATGCCAAATGTTTCCTTATAAGGAAAATATTGCCATTACCATTTGGAAATGAGTCGATAAGGCTTTTGGCAGCAGCAGTTTTTCCAAAGGTTTTTTTGTATGATTTGAATTAAAGTAAAATAAATTTTATTACCGTTGTTCACAACAGTATTTTTAAACCTAGATAATTCATCTCTGATTGGTACAAGAAATTTGAAAAAGAATAATTGTGTTAAAGTAAATATCCTGGGTGACCTTCAGTATTAGAAGAACTTGTTGAATGTGGGAATAAGTGTGAATGAATCTAGAATCCATAAGGATGATCTTGGAGCAGATTGAAAGTACTTGGGTAGGAAAAAAAACTATGGCGCCTTCTTTGATGAATTTCATCTTAACATCAAGAAACTGATTATACAACTGGAAAGGATCAGAAAAAAAAAATAGGCATAATATGTCTATATTATTCACTGAAACATGTTTGAATGAAGATATGATGCTAAAAATATATATATATATATATATATATATATATATATATATATATTGCAGTGTGGATAGAGTCCTACATAATGCCCTAATGACTAACATATATAATCAAGCTACTATCTAACCCACATGGCCTGAAGATTGCTTTCAAGCATGAAACAGACTGACATCATTTGGTGTTCACACTTTTTACATCTGTTCTAGCCAGGATATTGAGCACTTTTACTCTTTATATTCCATTGGTGAGATATAAGTTCCACTTGATCAGCTTCTTCTCATGAACAACTGCTTTGTGGAACTGAATCTCAAGAGGGTGCTTCCCTGATCACTACAATCTTAACCTGTTCAATAGGTTTAATAGTTATCTTTCCTACATATCACATATCAAACTGTATCTCTTACTCTATAACCCTCTATCCTGAGTAACTCTTGGGTCTTGTACAGGGTGAACATCATTGTAAAAAAACAAAAAAAATTAAAACTTTTTTTTGTGTGTGTGTAAGCAATACTTTTTTTATTTCATTCTAGTTTTCTTTTTTATTACTTCAGACATTAGTTTAGGTATAAACTTCAGTGTTTGTAAATAAACAGCAATGTCTACTCAAGCACATGTAACCATTAAAATAATGTTTATAGTGTGTGTGTGTGTGTGTGTGTGTGTGTGTGTAACTCCTAAATGTCTGCTAAACTTAGATAAGGATTTTTAATTTCAGGGAGCATTCTATATTATCAAAATAAAAACAATAACATTAAATGTTCTTAATCCTAATACAGTTACATACACACATTTATAAGTATACAAATGACTCCTATATATATATATATTGAAATGAAAAAATCTTTTGATTTTTACAAAATTGACACCTCAAAGAACTTGGATGTAATTAACTTTCAAATAACATTAATAACAAAAACGTAAATGTTTTGTATGATTTTTTTTGTCTTAATATTTTTCTTTCAGATTTATTTCCCTATTTAAAAAAAAAAAAAAAAATCAAATCAGAGATGAAAGTTTTAAGGCAATACATTTGTAATAACATTATATAATTTTATCCAAATATTATTTTTAACCTTAGTTTTCAGTTTTCTATGCTTCAAATGTGATTCCAAATAAATAAATCCAGTGTTTATTTTGGAAACTGCATTTAAATCACATGGAGTGATTTTATTTCAAAACAAATATGTTTTATAACTTTAGTCTTTTAAAAAGTAATTTAAGAAAAAATCTTAGTTAAGTATTAAATCTTTAAAAATATTGCTTGTCACGTTTATACTCGGTTATATTTGTTTTTGTCTTTTACTCTGAATTATGAGGGGTTTTTGTTTTTTTGTTTTTTTGCATTAAATAATAAATCTTTCATTAGTAAAATAAAATACTTGTAGAATAGTCCCAAGTAAATATGCTTTTGTATTTTGATCAAGATCACAACCGTGATCACAATTGTTTTCATCATAATGGTGTTAAAGAGAAATTTAAAAATGAAATGAAACAAAAAGGTTAGTTTAAAACCTGCATATCATTTTAGTGAAATATTTTACTAAATTTGGGTTCTTGATCATTTACTGTATATACTCACATATCATGTGACATTTGAAGAACTAATTTTGAAGTTAATTTTAAGGGGGTCACATCATGCATGAGATATAAAAATTGGCATATGTACTGCTGACCCTGGCTACACCATTGACTAAACTCTATATCCATTTGCTGTAGTCAAATTAGCTTCTAAATTAAGTCTTCAAAGGTCACATGATATGCGAGTATATACAGTAATACTTTCTCAACCATTTCATAGCAACAATTAAAACACTGACATTTGCATTTTTTATATCTATTGTTTAATATGTGCATTAATATTAATAAAGGGATTTATTATTCTTTTTTATAGATATTCAGAAAAATAAAGAATACATTCAAAATTTTTCTAAAGATTTTTTTTTTATACCATAACCCAATGTGGTGTCATTAGGCCAAAAAATATATATATATATATATAATTATTATTTATAAAAAAAATTATAACATAAGTATGTTATGAAATCACTACAAAAATAGCCATTTTGTTTCAACACACTTGGTGTCTTATCAAGTGATGATGTTGAAGTATATCTGCTCTACTTTGTATTGAGCACTCTTTTAAGAATAGTAATTGTTGGTTATTGGAATTCATTCCATATATACCAATTATATACTTGTGTGTGTGTGTGTGTGTGTATATATATATATATATATATATATATATAATATGAAAGATTTCAGTCATCTTCAAGTCTATGAGACTGGTTGTTCTATCAAAGCTAAAAGCTCAAGTTTGCCCAACTAACAATTCTTTTGAGGAAAAAAGATGGATTGTTGCTTTCCCAAAGGATTGGAACTAAATAACGATTCCATTTTCCACAATGATAACCATTATGTTAATATCTTTAGTTTATTGGTGACTTTTTTATGACAATGGTGAACTGTTTGAAGATGTTTACAAAGCTAAGTGGTGAAAAGACCAACCCCTTAAAAGAGTTGAGTATAACTATAATATTAAGTGGAAAAGATATTATTTAGATTTCCACAATAGACCAAAAGTTTGGTGCTACCCTCTGAACTTTAAAGAACTGCCTTAAAAATTGAAGGTTGCATGTCTTTTTTTAAACTAATTTACTAGATTGCTTGAGGCCAGAGGGACTTTCTTTTCCTGAAGCAGTTTGTCATATATTCAATAATATTAACAAAATTAACCAATTACTACATTTTTTTAAAAATTTTATCATTTGTTTGACTAACCTACCTTACTGGCTAATAGTAATCTTACGGATGACAGATTTTAAATTTTACTACCCCACTCTCTAAAAGAAATTGGACATCATTCACTAATGGGTTGAATAGTTTTAGCCTCCTAGCTTAGTAGGAGTTAATTAAACCAAAGAAGATATGAAACTTACTAATTATTAAATTCAGAGGAAACTCCCTAAACTTTTGGTCTATAGTGTATATATATGAAAACCTCCTAATAATAGTAATGATTTAACAAAATATCAATATATATATTCATACATACCATAGCATGGATAAATTATATTCTTTTTAAAATAAAGTACAAATCTTTTTTATTATTTTTCTGTGCTTCTATATTTTGTTACTTTTAGTTAAAAAAATAAAACAAAAAACCATAATCAATCATTAGACAGGCTTCAAACCTATTTCATTTCTTTATCTCCTAACCACTTTCATGGTATTAAATATAGCCATTTCTACAAGAAAAAAAAGGTTTGTTCTGTACTCATTATGTGGCTGTAATGGAAAACATATGCTGTAGTGAATGAAATAAGAGGCTTTGGTGGTTCCATCAGTTGGCAGAAATAGGTACTTCATTTAAATACGTACTGTAGTTATATATCTGTGACTAGAAGATTAAATTGTTTCCCCGAAATAAAATAAACTTAATAGATGTTCATTTATTAAATCTTAATTTCTAGTTGCTGCTAATTAAGACATGGAAAAGTGACTAAAAATATAAAAGTTTTTTTTGGGGAGGGGTACCCTTATACTGAATTAATGATTTACAATTAATTTTAGGAAAAGCATTTCTATTTTACTTAATGATATGAAATGTCAATTTCTGGAATATATTTATCAGAAGTTTTCTTTTTTAATTGTATATTATAAGATGAAAATAATTTCATTTAAAATAATTTTACTTGTTCAATCACAAGGAACTGTCTTTCTTTTTTTTTTTTTTTTTTTTTTTTTTTTTTTTTTGGTACCATTACTGATAAATAAAAAAAATCACTGATATTAAATAAAGCTTCATCAATTGGTGGTGGGGATACAAATGCCATCAGAATGGACTTTGCATGCCTAAGGGTAAAAAAAAAATAATAATATAAAATTAATATATCAGGTGACATTAGGATAGTCACCTTAAAAGCCCTTATTAAGGCATCCCAAATAACAGAACTAATTTCAACATGAGCAAAAAAAAAAAAATATACAAATAACTTTCTATTTAAATTTAACAACTTCTATAAAGCATAGACACTAGTTATTATTATGGAATCCCAAGTATAGTAATGGTAATATTAGCCATTTTCCTACAAGGAAATATTTGGCATTCATTTACTGAGCAACTAATACTGCTTTTGGTTGAAATTTATTAAATTTTTCTCTTAAAACGATTTTACAGGAAAATAGGTTTCTCAATTCCAGTAGATCTTATTGCTCTTTTCAGTATTGATGGGGGTTTCCTTCCTTACCTTCTGTTTTAAGTAGTGTGAAATGTCAACATCTTAATTAGATTATTATTTTATTTCTGATTTACATGTGTTATCCATTTTAGTTGTTGCTGCTGTTGGTAGTCCTCAAGTGATGTAGTTTGTGATTCTGTATCATCAGTTCACAATGTTCAAAAAAGGATGATCTTTGCTGAAAGACCCTTGGGCTTCACACACTTAAAGCCTTTTTTAACCATTGATCTTAGAAAGTGGTTGTATACAGCTGACAGTTTAAATATTTCTGAACAGGTTTGGTCCTATGGCTTGACCTCACTAATAATCATCAACCAGACTAGTTTACTATTACTCCATACTGAGGTGTCCAGGAAAGTGGTAGTAATTAATTTTCTAAATAATCCAAATTTGGGATATAATTTTTTATAATTAATCCAGATTTTGGGGTATAATTATTTTTTTTTTTTTTCAAATATGGACACAATAAAAAATCTGTAGGAGAAATTTACAAAATTCTTTGGAGTATATTTATTGTAACATTTTGAAAATATTTTCAAACCGATTAATTAAATTTCAGATAGGTTTACCTTTAGAAGGTTTAGAAATCCCAGTACAAAATTCTTTTACAAACTATGCGTTTATAGTAACAATTTAAAATCTACTTTCTGAATATGAGGAAAAAAATTTGAAATAGATTATCTGAAAATATCTATTGAGAAAATGTTTCTTTATTAATTTAATAAAATGAAAAATATCCAGAATATTTAAGTGAACAAGTTACAGATTTTATTAGCTAACTGTTTTATCTTGTCCACCAAGATGATCTTTTAACCTATCGGTATTCTAATTTTTGTCTTGTATCTCTCGAGAATGAAAACATTTACTATAACAGTATTTTCTTTTTCTTTTCCTTATATTTTACATTCATCCAAAAAGACTTTTCCTTTTTAGAGTCTCCATTTAACTTTATTACCCTGGATTTAACTTCTCTAAAGTACTTTTTGTATCTCATCTACTATTTTAGAACACATATAACGAGTGGAATAGATCAACCTTTTTCAGTAACCTACCTGGAAACATATATACTGCTTGTCATATTCTTATGTTCGCTCGACATAGTTACACTGTAAATATTAAAGGTATCATCCATTTTTGTTTTTTGTGATCAATGAGAATCTTTGTCTTCAATGCAAGTTTACACAACTTTACAGAATTGGATACACATGTATTTTTAACCAACCAATAGCACTGCATATTTTAGTCACTTGATTTTCATTAGGAAAAAGTGCTACATTTCTAGTAGTAATCATGTACAGGTAAAACTGGCTCTACAAGAGTTAAAAAAATTGCTATTGTTATAAATTTTATATTTTTACTGTATAGCTTTTATGACTTTTTGTACATGATTAAGTTACAACCATAAAATTCTGCAAAATGAAAATCTTGTCTATTCAAATCATTTCCTTTATGATATCATTTTTCATGTTTTTAAGGCTTTTATATTCTCTTATTTTTTTTTTTTTGTACAAAAAAATATTGATCTCATTTTTAAAACCTTAAATGAAAAAAACAATCATTTTTCTCAAAATTAAAAAAAAAACAGAAAAAAAAATGTTGCTTTGTTCTATAAAGTGCATAAAGAAAAAAAAATAAACATACTTTCTGGACCCTTGTTTTGTTTTTATAAGTATACATGAAAACATACACACATTTAGTAGGTGTCATGTTGATTACTTCTGAGATACACCCCCCCGCTCTCTCACCTTTCATCTTTTTCTTATCCCCCCCCATCATGAAACTGTTTGTCCCAAGATAGCTGTTAGAATTATATTATTGAGTTAGTGATGTAGATGATAGTGATGATGTAAGTGAGAGGTGAAAGATGTAGAGGCTGATGATGGATAAAGGATGAAGAGAGATATATATTGTTCTAGGTACAAGCAGCAGAGATGGTAGTAAAGGAGGAGCTAACAAATATCTACCTATTTACTTATAGCATACAATCACAGTGCAAGTAGATTGACTACTATCACTGTTACTGCTAGAATTGGTACGTGCGCTCTGTGTGTGTGTGTGCGCGTGTGTATGTGTGTGTTTATATACACATACTTCCCAGAATTCCCTTGCTTAGCACATAATACACACTAGGCTAATGGTTCTTTTTAGTTTCTCCCATCCCTAACATCTACAATTCCAGTGTGAGTGTATCTTCCTCCTTGTCCTACCTACGAGAAACTTACTACCTACCTCCTCCTCCTCTTCAATTCTGGGTTGTTCTGCTACTATGGCTTATTGAGAAGGAACCAACTAAGTGAAGGGGGAGAGGAACAGGGGCTGTTTTACAGCCACAACAACCAGCCACCACTCTAAGAAAGCACAAGTGTCACTTCTGGTCAGTTACTTGTTTTATTTTTCTTCACTTCCACTCCTCTGACTACCAACCAGACGAGCAACTTCCCCGTTTACCATTACCGGTTCTTTTGGATTTCTTCAAACAAGTTTCTCTGAAGTTTTCTCCTGAAAGAGGTTCTTTGTGGTATTGAAAAAAAAAAAAAAAAAAATGATGGAGGAATAAGTTACTAGTCTGTATTCTGTACACCTGTGTCTGCTACTGCTTCTCTCTGCCTCTTTTTACCTGTTATAAGAAGTTCAACACTTATGGAGGTTTGTTAAATTGTGTATATATACACTTGTAGTAGCATTATTTTAACTTGTCACTTTCCACTTAGCCATGGATCTATTTACAGAAAAATTCTAATTATAAAAACCAGCTTCATCAAAGAACTGTAAAATGGATTCATTACCAGACGGAGACTAAAGATGCTACAAAATCTTTTACTTTTTTTGTTTTCTTTTTTCTTTTAATATCCGTCAGCATTTTGAATTTGGTGAGGTATCTCAAAATCAATTTCTGGAATTTTGAAAACATTTTTGAAAAAGTTTTATAAATAGATAATGAAAAACTAGAAACCAGTTCCAAAGTTCTCATCAGTAACATTTTGACCTGGTTGTATCCAGGCACCCATGTGCGTAGTAGATAAACCTTTACTTAACTGACAGGTGCTCAAATGAACAATTGTTGTTGTTTGTCACATGCTCTCTGCTATCTACCCCTGTATACAAAGTTATCTACTTTAAACACCTGTTGAGGGATTCATAATGTCCTGTTTCAATACAGATTAATATTCAAGTTGCAAGTCCTTTGTAATTATTTCTTACCATTTTGATTGTTCATATCTTAGCAGTAAGTTAGAAAATGCCTTACTTGGAAATTCAAATTTTTTAGTTTTATGCAGTCTCTTCCTAAATAATACTCTGCACTATATTGGGCTTTTACTAGCATATTTGTAAAAATCTTTATGCTTTATAATTAATTTTTTATGCCCATCTTAAATTAAAATTTCCTTTTAATAATTGCAACAATTTCGATGATATCAAAACTAAGCCAGCATCTCCTGAGTTGCTTGACTCAAAGCCACTTACAGAAACAACTGATTTTAACAAAGTTAATTTTTCTTGTAACTTGTTTATTGCCACATTGTCTCATTTATGTTCAAAAGGTTTGATCTTTCTTTGTATTCCAAAGCATAAGTTCAAAAAGACTTTGCATGCTTCCAAAGTAACAAGAGCAGGTAAACATTTAAAATATCAGATCTCATCCGATACTTTTAGCATGGAGGAATCCATTGCAACTTTAACAAGACATCATGAGAAAACAAAAAAATGTTTAGCACCAAAGAGCGATTCCTCTGATCTTGAGCAACAAAAGGCCTCGTCTTTTGATTTCGGGATGGAGGAGAACCTTTCAAGAACGGTTGCCAGGACAAGAGCTACCAAATCTTATACAAAAGCGCGGTCAAGCTCAGAAGGTTGCTTAACATTTAAAAAGCATCAGCAGAACTACATTACAAGCAAATACATTCTCAAAGATGACCCTTCCTTGATTAAATTTAGCCAGAAGGACTTTGAACTTCCTACTGACCTCACTGAACTGAACTTAACAGATATCACGACATCTGAACTGCAAAAAGACATCAAGAAATTATCTGTGTCCGAGGAAGAGGAGGACGAAGGAGAAAATGGTGAAACTTGTAAAGAAAGGCCAAGAGTTCCTCCTCCATCCCCTCGGCGTTTCTTAAGCTGTGTAGATATAGAACCATCTACAAATACTGACAGAAGCAGTGATAGTGAGACCAATGAACAATGTTCTACTGGAAGTGATGAACAGACAAGTATGTTTTTAATATTCTCTTTTTCTTTCTTTTATGACTGCATTTCCTTATCTTTTTGAGAGACAAGCCCTTCTTCACTTAGTTCATCTCTTACACAGTCATATGTTTAATTGTTATAATAATAAAATTGACTTTTCATAATCTGCCTTGTTATAATCATTACAAAATCAATATTAATTTAGGTAATACAGATTTTGTAATAATTATGCACCCATACATATGTATTCATTCTGTAAATATGTATGTATGTTTTTATGATTACAGAAGGGTGCAGAAATGTTCTCGGCTCAACCAATAAACCCTTCCTTAAAATTCTGATGTTTGGTTAGATTTGGGGGAAAAGTTGAACCAAGAACCCTTTAGCACCCACTTGCGTTTCTTATGACATTCCCAACATACTCATTTTATTTTTTCAAAAAATAAATTATTTTGAGGTAAAATTTAAAACATCATTTGCAGGGTTGTTTAAATTAGTCAAAAGCAAGACTTTGTAGGTTAAAATGAGATGTTCATCCCTTAAAATATGAGAAGACAACTAGAAATATTTGAAACTGTGAAATCACTTTGTACTTTTTGTTATAAAACTAAGTCATTGCCTAAGGATTCATCAATAAACTTATATATATACACACACTTTTCCTTGGCCTATATGTGCCATTTTTTATTTTGATTATTAAAAGTGAAAGTAGTGTTTTTCATTTTACTTAAATAAAACTATCAATACATCATAGGAATTGTTTAAAGTGATGTTTGTTTTTTATTATAGGACATATTTGTTTAATGATTTTAAAAAAAGATATGGGAAGGTATAATCTCTGGATTATTATGGAATTAATGATCTACTCTTTTGTAAAGGGTGTTTAAGATTAAATGCTTTACACTGAATAACCTCTTTTACAAATAAGTGTTTTAACAGCAATTACTCATCTCCACCATTTTTTAAGCATTACATAATTTTAACAAAGCTGTTTTGATCAGTATATTTTTATTAATTTCCTTTTCTATTTTTATTAACATATTTTGTGTCCTGTGCCCTCAATTATGGATACTCAAAGACCTAGAGGATACAATGAGTAAAAACATTGTACCAAAACACACAAAAAAAAAAAAGGAAATTAGTACGAATTAATAATACAATGATTACATGAGGAACTTTTTAGCTAGCCATATTTTATAATTCTTATTTGGTTCCAAAATGATAATGTTATTGTGCTGAACAATATTAGCACATTACCTGCAGATTATAGGAATTTGTTATTTTAATTCATTGGCTCATTTGTGGATGATAGAAATTCTTGCTGCTGTTACTGGGTTAATAAACATGGTTCTCTCTTCCGCTATTTCGTTCTATGGCTTAATCCTTGTAAAAATGCACAGCTTGGCATATTTTTGTCATGGATATTTAGCTGGCAAATTGTTTCATATTTCTTTCCTTGCCACTGCCAGAAACTAAATCCTTAGAATGGAATGCAGGCGGCAATGTGAATTAGAGCAACATGTGACAAAAATGACGGACCATTAACATGGGACTACCCAACTAACTCTCTCCTGCAGTCATACATTGTTATGGTCATCAATTTTGTTCCAATTTACCATGTTTAGTGTTTTTTTTTTTTCCCTGTTTTTTTTTTTTTTTTTTTTTTTTTTTAGCAACATAGATTTCTATTTCAGAAGAAAAATTTTAAAAATAAAAATGACATTTAAGCCAGATGTTTTTTTTTAAGCAGAGGAAAATATCTTTGGCTAAACTTTTCACAAAACACTTTTCCTATTTCCCTATGATCACTAAGAGAATGTCATGGTCAATTCCCAATGCTGCTCTGGGGATGTGTAATAGTATCTACTCTCAATGTAATTATTCCCTAAGAGGAAAAATAAAGCATTTAATTGTTTTGGGGGATGGGGTGGCAGTTTTTAGCTCTGGCAAGTAAGAATGTATTTTATCAAACATTTCATATCTGGATTTATTTCAGTTCTCTTAAAATAAAACCCTTTTTTATACTCCACTTGAATTTCAATTTCTAATTAAGACTAAAGAATATTGTTTAGCTTTGTATGTGTAGGCATCTGTCAGCTTCAGAAGATTATGTAGTCTACTAGGAGGGCTAGCTAATCCCTATTGCAGATGCCTACTCAGGCAAAGTATTTTTTCAATATCTGTAAAACTGACCAGTGGTTTATACTGCAAACCATGCTAAGCAGATTATAGTTTCTGGGAGAGAGTACACAGTCTGGTATGATCAGTAGTTGAATAAGACCAGTACACATCACTCCTCAGTCATGATGACTTGTGAATTTGTGCTAGCACAGCTATTGATAGCTTTCAAGTAGTTTTGTCTACATAATTTCATTTGTAAGAGTTACATTTAACAGAAATAGCTCTAAAAGAAAATTATTTAAAACATAATGAGAGCAAATATATAAACTTTTCAATTTTTGTTCATTTAATACTTTGAGTCCAAGATTTTAAACATTGATTAGTGTTTTCATATTTTATGTTCACTGTGGCTATAAGTGTTTCCCCGAAAATTTTAGGTAAGAGTTTTTTTAGTTTGTTTTCGAAATGTTCAGATTTTTTTTATTTGTTGTTTCTATTAGGTCAACCAGTGATTTTAAAATGTTCATTTTTCCGACTGGAATTAATCCTTGCTATAAATTCCCATGCTGAGCATATTCTCAAGACAATAAGTGCATTAGGATGTTGAGGATGGTCACTAGAAAAGTTGTGGTCAATTGAAGCATGCAGTATTGGTCAATGAGGACACATAAACTTAAATAGACATGACATCTGTTTCACACACACGCATATAAACAAAATAGATTTTATGGTTGTATTGTCTTTTAGTACAAATGCTATATGGAAATTAATTTATAAATTTAATTTTCCTCAAAACATTTTTTTACATGACTAACTTAGATTCAGGTTTACTCACATTATACCTGATAATTAATCTTGTCTTTTGAATTTCATTAATTAACATTTATAAAACTTGATTTTTTTAAATTTATGCAATTTAAGAAGTTATAACATTGAATGTTTTTTGTATGCAAAATGATAACTTTCTTAAAATGTTTCAGTTTATAACTCTTTCTATTTGATAAAACAAGAATTAAAAATGTCAGTGTTTTAACTTTGTCATATTACAATCTATTGCTTTTTTTTTTATAAACTACTCTCAAATTGCAGGATAAGGTCACAAGACTGTCAAAGGAAAAATGTTATAACCTTGGTTTGTAAGTAGGGAAAAAAAAAGAAAATGAAATAATCCATATTTTAATACACTAAAATTTAAATTCAACTTTTAGTTTATTAAAATGTTACTATAAATTAAATGTCTTATGTGCCACGTGTGATACTCGCTTAGGTGATCATGTATCTTTTGATACATGACTGATGAGGCAGAATCTTCTTTCCCCCGCAGTAGGTTGCTATTTCTTTCTGCGGTCGACCATTTGCCATCCAAGGCTATAGAACCCGGTCTGTCCGGCTATTTACCCATAGCTGGGCAGGGAGAAGAGGATTTATGCCTTTTACCAAGGTTGTTAGCATGTAAGTGAATGTAATGGATTGAACTGGAATTCAAACTTGGCTCTCTGATTCCTCAATGTCTTATTAAATAAATTAAAATATTACTTTGCTTATGAATAATATTACATAATTTAAATTAAAATATTACTTATTTTCTGATTTTTTTCTACCTACAAATTGAAATGACTTTTTTTCCCTTTCTCGTTCTGATTAAAAAAATAAAGTACATTTTTCCTTTGACCCCCTTCTTCTGTCATAGACTTTTGCAGAAAAGAGGAATTGCAATCCTGACTAAAAATTTACACATGCGGACTATTGTCTTCATTTGTTGCTGTTTTCACAATGTTTCACTCTCGGGGCTTCATCAGGTGTATATTGATCCGAGTAAAAACCCTTTAAAGGCCTGGGGTAGACTGTTCCATATCTATTATTAGTACTGCTCAGTTGTTATTTGTCCTGTTTCCACTGAGTTCAAGTACACACTGCCAGGCCCCAGAAATAGAACAATTCACAAACCAAGTTGGACAATTCTCTTTGGAGAACTTGGAGCCTTAAACCTAAAAATATCTTTTATTTTTATCTTCTACATATTTTTTCTTATATTTTCTCACAAATCAATGTACTTTTTATTTACTTTTCAACACAATAAATTTAAGTTGATGAGCAGTGAAAGTTAATATGAATATATCTGATTTATCATTTAAGATCACAATTGTAAGTTTTTAATTTTTGTGGGTAGAGGTGACTGTACTGTCCAAATATCCATATTTCTCATACAATAATTAACTTTTTATTTAATTAATTAAATCATCTTGAATTACAGTCTTATAGAATGAACTCGAAATCCATTTTGTTAATAATTCTTATAAACTGTTTAAAAATACGTTTTGCTTGAATTTTTAGGATGAGAAATTATTAATTAATTACACTTAGTTCGAGAAAATTAGGTTTTCGGTCTTCTTCAGGTGTCGGTTTTGGTTTGTAATTCGCATAAACTTTGGAATTATAACCTATACTAGGTAACTGAAAAAGGTATGGCTTTTTAATTCACAAACAGTTACAAACTACGAAAAACACCTGAAGAAGACCGGCTGAAAAAAAAAATAACACCCAAGATGAGAAACATTAATAATTCGAGTGAGCAGTGTGTACTGTAAACTTTGAACCGTTTTTACGTGTAATGTTTAAAAATGCATAGTGCAATTATTAATTTCCTATTTAAAATTAATATTGAAAAATATAATTTTTAGTTCTTCAAATTGATTTTTAAAGTCTAAAAATATTTTAATCCCAATCAATAGTTTTTCTTTTCAGTTACAATAAAAAAAAATAGTTTAAAAAAAAAAAAAAAAAAGTCATTATTTTGTTTTGTTACAAAAAAATGATTTCCAACAAAACATACAATATTTTTAAAGTTCATTTTTTTAATTTATCTGCATATTGCAACTGGCGATTTCTCCTTTCAGGTGAC